GAGATTTCTGATAATGACTTTCGTGAAGTGGAAAAGACTATACCCGCTAATGATGATGTTTCGTCTGTTAAAGAGACAATAAAGCTACATCAGGTAATATCGTGATTTCATTATCAGTTTATTTGGTGATAATTCATTAAAATTTTATTTTAAACAGAACAAAAATTATACTGTAATAGGACAAAAGTTAGTAAATTTAGGAAATAGATCTAAATTTTGAGTGATTTGTTGTAGAATAATGCACTGTTCGAGTTAAAATGCGCTGTAATATAACCACGAAGGCTGGTACGCCCGAGTGATTAATTACGAAGCATTTGGACGATAGACCATGCATTATTATACAACAAAGCAAGAAAAATTTATATCCAGTCTAACATGCTAATAGAAAGAGAATCAATAAAAATGTTGAACTACATTGAGTGGACAAGTAATTTTCACGGCGTCATTTGGTTTATTGACGTCACATTTGACGTCAAGCGACGAGTAAACATTCCTTTCTTTATTCCGTGGTATATCGTGTAAAAACCCACTCGAATGCCTAGTATCTTGAATAGGGCAAAAGTGTGAAGTCCTCAGATGTATGTCTATGTTGTTTCATACAGTTTTGGTGACACTTTTGCTTGTGTCCCTTGTTGTTTTCTCGTCTACGGTAAGTATCTTCCACATTGCCTCTAGTTTTTCTTTCTTTGACTACCCCCCCCCCTTCCCCCGGTCTCCTTCCCCTTTGTGGGCCTATTATTCAATCATTTATTTGTTGTTTTCTTTGAATTCCTAATCAGTTACAAATTATTTATCATTTAGTGATTAACATGTCCGTGCTCTGTCTTTGCCCTGTCTTGTTTTTGTTTGGGGTCCGCGTGGGTTCCTTGCCACTGGTTCTTGTTGCTGGGTCATATGGGGGTTGCGTTCATTGAACGCCGCCTTTCCTTGTTGGTCTTGTTTATCATATTTTACAATGATAAACACACATATTTAACATTGTCAATATAAATTTAACTTTAATTTATTTTCAGATTGTTGTTAAGCAGAGAGGAGTTGTGTCATCTCGAGTTTTGAGTTGTTTCTGTTCAGAGAATTGCGAATGTCTCAATCTGAAATCTACGACACTTCTGTCACAGTAATACTTTGCTAAATAGCAATACTCAATTCAAACATATCCATCAGATTGTAAGTCTTTCAAACTGTCAAAAGTCATTTTTGTAGATGATATTCATAAGAAAATTGTAAAACATTTATAGATTCAGTTTTTGACTTTTATAGATATAATAAGTATTATAATAGTTGTTTAATATACCAGATTTGCCTTAATTAGAAATCTTTACAATAAGTATACCTGATTTGTGTGTGTTATTTTAGTACAGCCGTAAATTACAACTCTTTTCAGGGGACACCAATTTACTGCTGAAGTGGAATGTGCTAGCACCACTGTGTCTGTACGAACGAATATAAATGTAAATACAGTCTAACTTGCCCATGCGACCACGACTTTTGTCTTAAACGACCACTTTAAATTCCCCCCGATCATTTTCTCTCTATATCTTTAATGTATTAAGCGACTTTCGCTCAACGCGACCAGCGACCGCTTATTAGTCACCTAATTGAGATCAATGTTTTCATTTAACGACCACTTTTACCTGTGAAGTAATTGTGTCTTTAGAGAATGCCACCTCGTAATGTCACAAGTGTCAACAATCAAAACACAACAAATAAACGTGTGAAAAACCATTTTAGCGTATGCAAATGAAGTTAAGTATACCCGTGACGTGTATTATCCAATAATATCGGATAAACAATGCAACGCTGACCCTATTGAGATGGTGTATACGCTTCGCTTGTTGACATTTAGACTGCATTGAATTGACCTTGAACAGCAATTAAATTAATCGTAACAAGTAGATGTAGTTTGTTTATTTCAAATGAAAAAAATGCACAACAGAAAACATCTTCACTAATAGGGTTTTCGTGTTGGAGACAAGGAAAAACAACGGAGAAGTTAAAAACTCTGGAAAAAATGTCAAACATGTACGTAATTTGTCAATAAATATCAGAAAGTTATTTTTTACATTTGCACCCATTAAGATGTTTCCCTTGCGCGGTCGCTTAATACACGTTTGACTGTAGATTCTTTTGGCCGTTATTGGAGGACAGGATATGGTACCATCAACAGAAAGTGGTAACTTTACTCAAGGAAGAACCACAGAAGGTCACAAACAAGCACCGTGAACTTCCGTCAATAATTTGGAAGTGCATCGTGTCGGAAATGAATTTAGATTCTTAAAACAGACCTGCATAAATTCAGAGTTCAGGGTGTTTTCTCTCTCGTTGTTTGATTATTAAACCAAAGACTCAGTAAATACATCAAATCTGGTCGCATATACTATTACACATTGGTAATTTTATTACACATTTGGTAATTAAATTATAATTAATGTGTGTTAGCTCTATATGTTACAAAATTTTGAATGTTTATCTACTGTTTTACTACAACTAAGTTTTTTCATGTTTAACAGTTTGAGTATGACCAATTAAAGTTATAATAATATTGTATTTTCATATTCTAACGGCAATAAAGTTTTTGTTAGTTACTATTGTGTACGTAAATAAGCATTCAACACAGATGTAGATTTCAATTGTCATCACCATAACGCAGGCGTCACTTCAACAACGCTGTGTCATTACCATAACCTCACTAGTTTTCAATTTTAAGCATTTCTCATTTATTAGTCCCCTACCGGTTTAACCGGAGGGGACTTTAGGTTTACCCTCCGTCCGTCTGTCTGTCCGTCTGTCTGTCTGTCAGTCCGTCCGTCCACAAAACTGGATCCCGCGATAACGTAAAAAGTACTGAAAATATTTTTATGAAACTTGATATATGGATAGATGGCAGTATGGAAATTATGCACGTCTTTTTTTTCTTCTGGTTGCTATGGCAACAAATAGTCTGAAAATATGGCAAATTTAACACATAAACTGGATCCAGTGATAACTCAAAAAGTACTGAAAATATTTTTATGAAACTTGAAATATGGGTAGATGGCAGTCTGGAGATTATGCACATCTTTTTCCTTTCTTCCTATGTTGAAAATTCTGGTTGCTATGGCAACAAATAGCCTGAATTTCAAGATTTCTGATTTAAATTTTTCAGCTTTTATGTTCTTTATTTCTTAAGGTGTTTACTTCAAACTTTAAATATAAGTTTCTGGTCATCAACCACATCATATGTGACAAGGTTTATAACTCTAGCACAAAAATTATCAGTATTACCTCCCTTGAACTTAGATTTTTTAGGGGAAAAAATGTTGTCTTTTTTAAATAACTTCTTTATTTCCTAATGTATCTACTTCAAACTTCATATATATGTTTCTTACTATCACTCGACATTTTTGAGAAGGTTGAATACTCTAGCAAGACTATTTCCAGAATTATGTCCCCCTTGAACTTAGATTTTTTTTCGAGAAACTGGTATTTTCACTCCAACTTCTTCATTCTTTATAGGATTTACTTTAAAATCCCACATCGTAATAATATGACAAGGTTGTATAAACATAATTTCCTTACTAGGCATGGAAACTTAACACATTACTGTGATATAGACAAACTTAGAACTCAAAAGATTTAAGTTTATTCATGTCATTCATTCACTGGTAAAATTGAATGGCAAATGGCCCATCAGAATGTTGCTGGGGTTCTAACCGGTAGGGGACTTATGGATTGCTTGCAATACTATGATAATTGCTTGTTTCATTTATACATTCATTATACAACAAAAAATTTTAACATTTGTATCGCTATTAAGGTAAAAAATATATTCTAATGTTGGTATGGAGGTTCCTGATTTGTCAAATGAGTTTTTCTGAACATACATTTAACGTGTTATTAAATCAAAAAATGTAATAGAGGTCGTTTAACTCGATTTACTGAATAACTTTGTATGAACAAATGATATCCCTACCCTTTTTTTCACTATTTTGCATTTAAAAAATGTTGTGGAAATGACTATGAAGTGTTGCTCACCCGATTCATTTATAAAATATAAAAAAAACAGACAATATCTATGCACGGAATTCAATATCAAATGATGCTAGATAACAATATAAATGAATAAAACGACTGAAATTGAGAATTTTGCGATATCCAGTCAAGCCTTTGATCTTCCAACAGAAAGGCAAAAACTATAGAATCACCCACCTGCGGTTGTGAAGTATAAAAATCTGGAAACATAGTGATCCCTCGGAAGCATTAATCACAACAAAATTACAAGAGAATTGCAGACTCGGTTTGACTGAAGTGAAGTGCGGGGCAATTTTACAGCTGCCATACAGCACTTGACACCTGCTGTTGTGAAGTATAAAAAATCTGGAAACAAAGTGATCTCTCGGAAGCATTAATCACAACAAAATTACAAAAGGATTGCAGAGTCGGTTTGATTGAGTCTGTACATAAGAATTAATGAATACGTGCAAGATCCCTCACTCCCCTCTAGCACCGCTTGAGCGGTACTCAATTGTTAACACTTAATAGTACTGGCATCAATGATGGCTTAAGTCGGCTCCAAAGTCGGCTACTCTGTGGGAACTGGAAGGTTCAAGGGCAGCAAGTTTTGTTTCTTTTGATAATAGGTATTTTACACAAAAAAACACCCAAGCATGCTGTGAAAAATAGAGAAAATAAGAATCCCTAAAGAAAATGTTGCAGACTCGGTTTGATTGAGCCTGTTCATGGACGGTACTGTAAAGTGCAAACTACCGTCCACTCCCCCTAGCACCGGTTTAAGCAGAATTCAACATTTAAGCATGAAATGGTAAAATTTTGACTTTAGAAACATCCACAGATCTGTTTATACGGCGGTTATCATGGAACCTTCAATGTTACACTTCCGTGCCATTGCATGAAAAGCGGCGTATGGTCCCCAAGTAATAAAAAGCGTGTGCCCTAAACAAGAAAACAATGGGCGGAAGAAAAATAAAATGGAATTTTGCAAGTGGATCAGAGGTTATTAGGTTTTGTGTGTTGGAGGTCAGTAATGATCATGTACCAATGTTAAATGGATATGATGTGGTTAACAATGCTCAACTTTTGAACATTGAACACATAAGTGTTTTGTCTCTATGATTATTTTTGTTGGATGGATGTTGAACATCTTGAAATTATTTAAGTTAGGCAAAGCTTTTGTCTCTGAAACTGAAAAAAACAAAACAATATATCAAATTGCAGAGATTTCCAGAGTTGACTGTGACAAATATTGTGAAATTAGTTAACGCTTTTACCTGACAGGTGAGTCAAGTTAGGAAACCAGCATTTTATTCCTTATAAAGAGAAAAGTTTTGTTCCTTTTACTGTTAAGTGTATTTATTTTGAGGACATTTATAGAATAATGAATGAAAAATTCAAAACAAAGAAATGAAATTCCTTAAAAGCACCTTATATGACAGTTCAAACACTTGGAAGGCTAAACACCATTCTGAAACAAATATCAATTTCAAAATAAGTACACCAAATATATGATAAACAAGATCAACAAGGAAAGGCGGCGTTCAATGAACGCAATCCCCATATGACCCAGCAACAAGAACCAGCGGCAAGGAGCCCAGGCGGACCCCAAACATACCAAACCAAACCAAATCTTCTTTCAGACATGATACTGTTGTTCTCATTATCTCATTATTTACCTGTATAATTTTCAGTACTTAATTTGAACAAAACATGCATACTTGTTTACTAAAATTTTGGAATAAATACATGTGTATAGGATGGAAAGCGTCAAGTTCCATGGTCGGAGGATGAGAAAAATTATCTGGAGAGCTTCATAAACGACAATATCAGTGTGGAGAATGGTGAATCTGCTATGCAGTATTGGAGGAGATGTGCAGCTGCACTAAATAACAAATATCCTGGGCACATCAGAAGTGGTTTGTTCTTCTTTCAACAAACGAAATTTAGAATTTTATACAGAATTGAAATGCTTATGAAAAAAGATAGTTTGAGCTGTCCCTGCTTATAAGAATATCTTATTATTGTGTTGCAATATTGTCAGCTTTAATTATTAGCTCACCTGTCACAAAGTGACATGGTTAGCGTTTGTGATCGCTTTTCCTCCGGCGTCTGTGCGGCGTCCGTCAGTAAACTTTTACTTTAAACTACATCTCCTCATAAACTGCTGAGCCAATGTCATCCAAACTTCACAGGAATGTTCCTTTGGAAGTCAATTATAAAAATTGTACAAATAATTCCAAGAAGAACTCTGGATGCCATGGCAACCGAGAGAACAAACTTATTATAATTTTCTTTTTTAAAACCGAAAGAGCTTGAGCTAAAATACTTGGCATGAAATATCATCTAGTCAGTGTCTACCAAGTTTGTTCAAATGAATGCCCTGGGGTCAAAATTGGCCCGCCCTGTGGAGTCATTGATTTTCCCTATTTGTATAAAGTAAAAACCTAAAAAACCTTCTTTTAAAAACCCAAATAGCTATAACTTAGATATTAAGCGTGTAACATCTTCTTGTGGGTGTTTACCAAGTTTATTCAAATTATAGCGCTGGGATAAAAAAAATGACCCCGCCCCAGAGGGTCATCATTGTTCCTTTATGTAGTATATAGTAAAAACTTTTAAAAATCTTCTTTGAAAAACCCCAAAGACCTAGTCTAAGAGATAAAATATTTAGCATGAAACATCTTCTAATGGGTGTCTACCAAGTTTGTTCAAATAAGGGCCCTTGAGTTAAATTGGCCCCTCCCTAGGGGTCATTGATTTTAATTATATGTGTAGTAAAAACTTAAAAAATCTTCTTATAAAAAAAACCCAAAGAGCTAGAGTTTAGATACTAAGCATGAAATATCTTCCAGTGAGTGTCTACCAAGTTTGTTTAAAATAAAAGCCCAGGAGGGGGATGTCATTGATTTTCCCCATATGTTAATAGTAAAAACTTAAAAATCACCTTATAAAAAAACCCAAAGAGCTAGAGCTTAGATATTAATTATGAAACATCTTCTTATGGGTGTCTACCAAGTTTGTTCAAATAAAAGCCCCTGGTTTAAAATTGGCCTTGACCCAGGGGCCTATATACAGGTGAGCGATTTCAGGGCCATCATGCCCCTCTTGTTTTATTAATAGAAGACTCATGCAAACGTATGGCCAAGCGTCTATCTGTCAATCCCTGCAAACCAGTGTCATCAACTGTTAAAGAGCTTGAACTGGGATTCAGTGAACTAAATTACATAAAAACAGCCGACATTGGGACACAAACCGATTTATCACTGCCAGTAAATTGTGTCAGGTATATTCATCCTTAAATTCGTCAAAATATTGAATTTATAAAACATTAAAATACATCTGTAAATATTACTATAATACTGCATGTTTATAACATCAATTTTAATTGGATACTTGTGACGTTTATATAGTTTTATATACATAGCTGTTGTCAATTTATAAAGACATCTCACCTTTTTCTCTGGAAAAGGAAAGTTGCTGTATTACAAATTCATCATAAATATTCCTGACCTCTTCATAAAAATTGTTTTCCAGATACCTTCTTGCCAGCTCATAGCAATATCCAATCCCCTGCATAGACTTACAATAGATTATTGTAATTGGGAATGAGCCAAGCTTTATTTTTAACTCCTCAAGAACTGGTTTGAAGATATAATCATAAGGTGTGTTGGCTGTATTCCCTTTAGCATGTGGGCTTGGTCTTTTAACTTTGATAAATGAAATGTTTTCCTTAGCTGGACTGGTGGATACAGTTTCACAGTATTTCATCAACAGATTTGATTTGATTGCCTCTTGGCCTAGCTTTGTGACTGTGGCTGACAATGCAATAACTTGGCAGTCCATAACAGCTCTAAGTTCAGCTATCTGTTTGAACTTTGGTCTAAAGTCATCCCCCCAGTCAATTATACAATGTGCCTCATCAACAACTAAAAACAACTTTTTCTTCTGGAAATTCTCACTGCATGCTACATCAATAAATGCTTTATTGTCCACAATGTCTTCTGGGTGGCAGAAAAGAAATTGAACACCATTTTCATTGTATTTGCCCTTCTTCAGGGATGCTGCACTTCTACCAAGTTTTTCTTCTTGCTGCTTGATTATAATTGATAGTGGCTCTATCACTACTATAAATGAATCCACAAACAGACAAGGTAATATTTCATACAATAGGGATTTCCCATAGCCTGTAGGTAAGCAACAAAGAACATCTCTTCCAGTGAGAATTGACTGAATAGCCTTATACTGCAGAGGCTTTAATTGTTTAATTTGTTGGCTATATGTGCAATTGTACTTTTCAATTGCATTGTGGATGACCTGAAATTGAAGAATGTTTAGTAGATATAACACAAATAGAACTGAACAAAAAGAAGATTGGTTAAATACAGAATTAAGGTGGTACCTTATAATAGGACTGTTATCCATATTCGGCCCTTCATCAAATGATACAGAATAAATATAGGGTGAAATTATTATTTGCTTTAGAAGCTACTATTAACTGATGAAAATAACCATTATTTTAAAAAAAAGTTCTGTAAAGAACCTCATATGAGTTTGAACCATCTGTATTTTTGAGTACTCGGTTCAAGTAATGATTTAAATAATCAATGAAAAGTTATATATAAATGTTTCATTACTGCTAATGTGCTATAAAAATTTTATTCACTATTTATCAGTTTACACATACTACAAGGGTAAAATAAATATTGATATTAACATTTCCACACACATTCAAAATGTAAAGTTGAGTCAAAATGGTTAACAAAACTACCAGCTTATAAGTGTAAAAAAGAATTTGTATGAAAAGGATTATTGAAACTTTTTAACTTTATTCAAAATATGGCAAATTTTGATGTTAATTTTATTTTTTTTAAAAATTGCATACAACAGAGAATATTTCTGTAAGCATCATTAAGTTTTGTGATATTTAGATAATCCTGCCTGGCCTTCAGCATATAAATTCATGGTTTCTGGTCCCCCTTACCTCAATGTATACTTTGAATATATTCTAATACATGTATACAGAGATAAGTATTATCTGCTCAAGGCAGGGGTTTCATTGGATACCATCCAACTCATTGTAGCCAGATTTTGAAATTTAGGTTGAGAAAAAATGTGCAGGCTGACCAGGACTCAAACTTGGATCCTCGGATTATCGCTCCAAGGCTCTACCCACTGAATTATCCGGCCGCTTACACATTTTCTATCATAAATTCAATTTATTTTGTTAAATATTTTCAGAGTAACTGTTTGTAAAGATGTTGTGGTAGGAAACTGTATCATTAAGATTAATTTATTAATCATAGTTCTTTTTCCATGCCAATTGTGTTAATATTGTTATTTGATTAAATTTTGTTTTTTATATGTTTTGTAATTATATGATGTATAACTATTTCATTTAATACTTTTGAGTGTGTTACTCATGATTTATCCATGAAAATTTAATTGATAATTTCATAGAGAAAATTATCAAAATATAATTTCACACTTTTCATTGAAGAGATTACTTTTTAAAGATTTTACTCATGTGGTAGTACCTTGTTGATTTTTTAACTTATTATCAGCTGGAGACTTCCTGTATTCATGAGAAATTTATATGAAATTGAGGGAAAACAGGGCTTCACTTCATAGAAAGTCCCCAGTGTATCAATAGTCCAAGAACTATTAGACTAACTTTAGACAGTTTCAATAAATATTTTTATCTTTAGAAAAGTTTTATACTTTTATTTAATTCATTCACATGAGAAAAGTTACAAAATAGAATGACAGATAAAAATGGTCTCAATGTTGGTCTTAAGACTGTACACATGTTTAGAACTTAGGACTTTCAGCGAATTCGGCCCAGATTTTAATATACAAGCTATTATTAAGGAGATTTCATCATGTAAAATTCATGACCTTCAAAAACAGTATTCTCACTTGTGGCTACTAGTATATCATTTGTGTAAAAAATGTTTTTAAAGCTCACTTGATGAAATAAAATTTCATCTTACTCACAAACAAACAAATCCTCTAAATCCTTTTAGAATATTTTTAGACTTCATTTGGTATTAAATATTGTCAAGTCTACGGCCAATGAGGGCTAAATAAAATCATTCACATTGAAATAAATGAAACTAACATACAATGTGATAAACTGTTAACTTGCCTTTATAAAATCAACCACATTAAATCAAACATTACCTCCATTAACAGCTTGGCTTTCATAGCATCGTATTTGTCCTCAAAACACTTAACTACATTTGCTTCCGGTGACTCTTCTGATTCATCATGTGCCTTACCATCTTTCTGTGATTAGCAACACAGAAGCAATACTGTCGCAAGACTCATCTTTGTTAATCAATGCTATAGCTCGGTTAAGCTGCTGCAATCCTTTTAAATCCTGTGAAAATATGTTAATATGAGATTAATACTGTCAGAATTGTTTTATTATTCCCAGTAATACTGTAAACATTCTTTATTTAGATTTTGTTCAGTTTGCTCTTAAACTAGCCAACAATTTTTATATAAAGGAGACACAAATATAGATTTTCTTTTCATGTTAACTTACTTGTTAAAATAGTTCTATAACTTTGTTGAATCAGTGTCAACAGCTGTTAAAGAACTCTTTAAGAACTGTTTAAGAACTTAAAGAACTCTTTTGTGAAACCAAATGTTGATTTTGTAGATTCTGACTTCAATCTAATGAATATACACTCTGGAAACAATAACTATCTACTGCACAAAGTTTATAAATGTTTAAAAAAACTTTCCTACAAAACTTTTGTGGTAGATATTTTACAAGCAGTATAAGGAAGTACTTTTAAATATTTAACTACATGTATAAGAGTTTTACCATAGGAATAAAAAAAAATATTTAAATAGTATTATTTATTTTTAGTTGCTCTACAATCAAACTGTACATCTAGTTTTATTTTAAATAACATTTATTTGTAATCTTTTCATTTACATAAAAAATACAAACGATAAAATTTACGGGTTCAGTAGGAACCTTAAGCAACTTTTTCAAAAACTCTCACAGTTGATAGCATCTTGTCTTATATTAGGGCCTTACTGGGAATTGTGTTTAGAAGCATGTTCTAAGTTATAGCCTGGTAGGATTAATGCTGCCACTGAAAAGCAATGTTTTAAAGTGTTTATCCCCGTGGGACTGTTTGTTAACTTATTACCTTCAGGGAACCTTGAAAGAATGGTCAGAAAATACAAAATTGTGTTTTTATTTTACCTAGAAATCATTCTTTTTAATAATAAATTTTCCTTAGCATTTTATTTTACCTACAGAAAATTATACAATTTATTAACAAAAAATAAAATTCATTTCTTTAGATTTAAATGAGTTAAGTTTTTTTCTCTATACAATTTCCTATCCTGAAATCATGCTAATTAATGCGGCCCATATCTTGTCTTTTTAAAGCACTTATGATATTTTCTATACTGTACCATTTGCAAACCTATGTCAAACAGGTTAAGTAATTAATCCTTACGGTATACAAGAATATCAAAAAAAGGTATCCGAAAGACCAAGGCTCTACGTTTACCGGTCAAAGAGATCAAAAGATCAAGGTAATTTGGGTCCAAACGACGAATTAATCGTAAACGACATAACCGAAGTGGATGTCCAAAATTAAATGCATAGATTTAGTATTTTCATGTTTTATGAATCATTTCGAATGATATTTTTAAAACCTCCGATAACAAGAATATGGTAGGTAGATAAAATCTACGCTAAGACACATTAAATGATCCATATAATGATATATTCGATCTAATTAGGTTGACTATCCGATCATAAGCTATATCCGAAATATGATTTCTTTCGGCATTAGAAATCTCTAGAAATTCCCATTTCATGTGATGGCAAAATGTAAAATAAATTCTATTTTTTTTTATATAAATTATGAGCAATCCAGATCTGTTGTGCCATGAGTGTGCACAATCTGAAAAATGTCTTAAATCTGTTTCTTATTTACCTTGTCGGGCGCAGACGTCGCCGCCATTTTTGTATTGTGCCTGACCTAATTATCGCAGAATAGTAGGCATGGAACCAGACTTAAACCATTTGTTTGAACAAAATGAGGACCTATTCAACGGTTATTTAAAACGGTGTTATGTCGCTGGGTATATTAAAAATCGTGTTATTTTCCAAATGAATGCAGCAATATCCATTTTGATAAATGTAGCAATGTTCAGTTCAAAAAGGTAAGTAAATAAAAGAAGCCTTAGGCAAGTTTTTATTTTATTTCTAACATTTAACCATCGCATTGCAAGAAGACAAAACTTCAGTGTTCTTATTATGTTTTCATTGCCATAAAGAGAAGGATTGGTGTAAATTACAAGAGTATATGACAAATCCTCTGGCACTGTAACATAATCGTAATATCTTACATAACTCTTCTTAACGTCAACGAAAGAGTGCGAGTGTGCGTTTAAAATAAAATGTTATATACCGACATTATTTTAACTCCTATAAAAAATAAAACAGATGCACTTTTGAATGTTAAGAAAACCTTAGATATTCGAGCTATTACATATATGAACGTTATCTTTTAAATCGAAACAGTTGTAGAAATTTTTAGTGTTTATACAAGAAATGAATTTCATATTGTATAGGGGCTCATGACAAAGACGTAACGAATAGATATTTATTAATTGTGGATGTAATGAAAATTAAGTTGTTAAATAGTGTACAGAAATCACGAGCATTGTACCATAGTACTATTTGATAAGTAACTGTCTTTAATCGTCATTTTTCAGGAATTGTCATTATGTAGTCAAGTTACTTAGATTTACAAACATTGATGCTGTATCAGCATCTTTTTAAGCGATTAAATATGGCACATATGGCTCTGATTGTAATTAAAATGTTTGTGATCATACACACAAAATACGTATTATATCTATACTTTTGCACTGTTTTTGACACTCTTATGCATTTAAAGTGCACTTGTAAATAGTAAAAAATCCCTTTAATATACTGGTACATGTAAACATTTAAAAGTGGCACTGACTAGTATCAAATTTTGAGATGCCAATATAAAGAAAGGAAGTTAGTAAGCTAACAGTTTAGAGCCTGGACATACTGCATAATGCAAGGTTGCCAAAAAGTATATTGATGGCAATAGCAAATCATTTTTGTTCCTGGTGGGTAAGAATTGAAAATTTTGATAGTAAATCATACTCTAACATTTATCTTAGACTAGCAAAATACCACACATTAACTGAATGGTCCTATGTTGCGATAAGAATGCTCTAATGACATAACGACATAGTTAAACATAAATAATGAATTTAACAGTGAATTATTTTTTAAAGACATGGTAAAATTAACAATCTTAATACTTTCTTTTATAACATGCCCTTTTTCCATTGTTCTATAGTTAAGGTGCAAGAAAAAAAAATTCTCACGAGATTCCTTGCTACTTCCG